TGTGCGTTCTTGACTGGCCAACACTCCGCTCCATACAACAAGGCCGGTCTAACTACCACTCTGTAAAACTTACCTTTAAGTTTCGGTGGAATTTTCTTATCACACAATACTCCAGAGGCAAGCCTCCATTTCATCCAAGCAGCCCCAATGCGATGTGTGACATCATCGTCGATGTCACCACTCCCTTGGATTACCGCCCCAAGATACTTAAAACTTTCCTTCTTAGGAATGATTTGTGCGGCAAGTCTCACTTCCACATCTGTCTCATCCACCACATCACTGAATTTGCATCCCAAATATTCTGTTTTGGTCCTACTCAACCTGAACCCTTTGGACTCCAGCGTTTGTCTCCATACCTCCAACCGCGCATTAAATCTGTCCCGCGTCTCATCAATCAGTACTATGTCATCCGCAAATAACATACACCATGGGAAAATAAATTAGATAAAAGTTACCTTAAAAAAGAAGTAATAAAAATAACGAAAATAAATACATTCATAATCAAAAATTAGATAAAAGTATTTGTATCTGAAAAATGCATTGAACAATATTATCATAAAATTATTGCCAAACAAACACAATTTACTCTAAAATATTATAGTTTGGTAAATATTGTCGGGGATATAATGAGACATTTGATCATATTTTATTTTATTTTGTTGAGCTAGACTTCTAGCAAAAAATTATTTTCACTTTAAATTATTCATAAAATTTTAAAAATAATCTAATTTATATTTTATAGCCAAACACAACTCCAATTTATAAATACTAAAAAAAAGTACTCATTATTTTTCACTTTAAAAATAAAAAAAGTTTTTTTCTTCAAAATACAGAACAAATTTCATGGCCAAACATCCCTTGGTTCAGTAGTTCATCACATTTTAAAAAATAAATATATTTATATTTTACAAGAAAATAATATAAAGATGTGAAAATCTATTTAAATTGTAGTAAGTGAGAGATAGAAAACTATTTTTTCACAAAGGGAATAAAAAGAAAAAAGAAGAGAGTGAATGGGAAAATAAAGAAAGAGGGATCAGGCATTGTCACACTGCGTTTAACATTTAACCTTAGCCTGCGTTTATCATTGACGCCACTGAGTCATTTTCCGGCCGCCGCCTCCTCCTCCAAAACCCTAAACCCCAATAAATATTATCACCTCCGGTACCGGAAATGGTATGACTAAAAAACGGCTTCTAAATCTAAGATCGATTCAAACCCCTACTATCGGCGACCGGAGATAATGCCCTTGTGGGTTCAACGGGCGTCCAATATCTTACTCATTGCTCGATTTCATGGTCTCACTTCTTCAAAATCTATCCCTTCATACGGACCTGGACCTGAGGCGGTTTGGTTTACTAAAGTTGTATGTCTCCTCTGTTTTCACCATTCTCAATCACTTGATGTATTCGGTTCTGATTATTTTCGTCAAAATTTGGACCCACATATTGCTTTCACCGTTATTCACCATATTAATACCAATTTGAATAACCCCAGATTGGCATTTCGTTTTTTACAGTGTACTAGGATCAATCTGAATCTTGTTCATTGTATTGGGAGTTTTAATTTGCTTTTGAGGTCACTTTCTCAGATGGGGTTTCACGATTCCGCTATGTTAGTGTTTAAGTTTATGAAAGCTGATGGGTATTTACTAGAAAATTCGATTTTGGAAAGTGTAGTATTGGCACTTGCAAATGCGGGCAAGTTTGAGATTGCCAAAGAAATTTTGATTTCACAAGCTGAGTTAGGTAGGGAGGAAGGTAGAATTGTTAGGCCTTTTGTACATAATAGTCTTTTGAGTTTGTTAATGAAACGAAGTAGGGTAGATGAAGCTGTTGATTTTTTCAAACATCATATTTTGAGGTCAGAGAGATTGTTTCCAGATACCTGCACTTTTAACACTGTGATTCGTGGGCTTTGTCGAGTTGGAGGAGTTGATAAGGCATTTGAGTTTTTCAATGACATGGGAAGTTTTGGTTGTTTCCCTGATACTGTTACGTATAACACTCTTATAAATGGGTTGTGTTCTGTTGGTCAAGTAAACAGGGCTCGAGGTTTGTTAGGAAATCTTGAGTTACAAGATGGACTGTCACCTGATGTTGTGACATATACTTCTGTTATCGCTGGTTACTGCAAGTTGGGCAGAATGGATGAGGCTATAAATCTGATGGATGAAATGACTACTTACGGTATTAGTCCAAATCTGGTTACTTTTAACATTCTTATCAATGGTTTTGGCAAGATAGGAGACATGTTTTCTGCTATACAAATGTATGGGAGGATGTGTGCTGTTGGTTACCCTCCTGATGTTGTGACCTTCACGTCTCTCATTGACGGTTATTGTCGTACTGGAGAATTAGATCAGGGCTTAAAGCTATGGGATGAAATGAACACTAGAAATTTGTCTCCAAACCTATATACTTTTTCTATTCTTATCAGTGCTTTGAGCAAGGAAAATAGGCTAAATGAAGCTCGGGAATTATTGAGGCAATTGAAATCGAGGGATGATATTGTCCCCCAACCATTTGTATACAACCCTGTGCTTGATGGGTTTTGCAAGGCTGGTAATTTGAGCAAAGCAAATGTCATTGCAGCAGAAATGGAGAGCAGAGGGTGTTGCCATGATAAAATCACCTTCACCATTCTCATTCTTGGGCATTGCATGAAAGGAAGAATGCTTGAAGCTATGGCCATTTTTGATAAGATGCTGTCTTTGGGTTGTGTCCCAGATGATATCACAGTAAGTTGTTTGACATCATGCCTTCTAAAAGCTGGGATGGTAAAGGAAGCTTATAAAGTAAGGCTCACTCCATCAAAGGACTTGAATCCTGATTTATCATCTTCAAAGCAATCTGTACCATTCCGGACAAGTTTGGATATCCCAGTGGCTGTTTAATTAAAAAAAAATTACCTGGTTCCTTTGGCACTGCTTAAGGAACATGCGAATCGTTGTTCTCTTCAAGTGCTTCAGAACTTGAGAAGATTGCTTCTGCATATTTATATCAAGCTCAAGAAGCATGGTCATCGTCGTTTCTGTAAGGTGAGAAGCTCCAAAAAACTACCTAATCTGGTAGTTTTTTTACCTGTTTTGAAAAGTTCACAAAGTGTTTCATTTGTGGAATTAACAGGAAGGAACCCTTTAGTTTACAAACTTATAAGACCTGCATTTCTAAGATCTTTAGTTCAACTCATCATTAGCACGAGAAGCATTACATGTGTCCCTCTAATTTCTTCAGGTTATAAGCCCCCTCATTTAGAGAAAAGAAAACTGGCAATAGAAACAAATAAAAGAAAAAAAAAACGAGAAGATGCCTTCTGCTTACCTTTTCATGAGTTTTATCCAGGTTATCTTGTGATAAGCTTTATTATGTCATCTGATAGTCTGATAGGGTTCCATCATTTTGACAGGATTTTGATGGATAACTATCAGAAACTCAAGGATTGTACATGGAACTAATGCCTTTTTTTTTAATAAAAGGGGAAATAGTCCATGAAAATCAGCTAAGCTACCATGAAATAGTGTAATAATATGAGGCTGGAGGGAAGATTTGAAGAGTTTGTTGAGTGAGAAGAACTGAAATGGGAAATTAAATTTACAATGAAAAACAATGTTTTGTTTGTTGAAAGTCTTGTGAGAAACTTTTATACTACTTTGTCAATTTTTGTACATTGTTATCAGTGATGTGAAGGAATGTGGTCTGCAGATAAAAGGGCTTCCTTGAGAAGGCTCTTAAAGCTTCTAAGAACGTGCATGTTGTTTTGTTCATCTTCAAGTTTTTACAGAATTTCAACTAAAAAAATAATTCTTGATTGTTTGATTTTCAACTAATTTTTTTTTTCTTGATTGTTTGATTTTCAACTAGAATATGTGAGTATTGACTTTGTTCTTCTGTTTCTCAATTTGACTGTGTCCAGCAACCTTGTTGGCGACAGCCGCTAGGAGTTGTCCCGCACATCGAGCGCATATTGGCATCTGTTATAATTTCGGTCGGCGATGTAGGTAAGCTTAACCTTTGAAGTACTACTGACCATAGCATCAACTTGATTTACTCCACCGTTAAGCAGTCGGCTGACATTCCAAAATGAATGAGAACTGTCTAAAATTACTCATGTTTTTTAAAATTCACAATGGCCAACTTTATAGAGTTCAAATGCACTTAAGCTCTTTCTTCATCATTTCCCTTTTTACTATTATGGTAAGATGTCATGTGTCACTCCCATTACTTTCTAGGGCCGGTGCCCTTTTCTCTCTTTCCAAAGTAGCAACAGCAATAGGCTTACCATCTTATAAGGTTGATCATAGGATCTTCAATTGGTCATAGTTAACAGCATATTAATTTGCTGTCTCACAGGTCATATAAGCCCTCCTTCCATATTATGTCAGTCAAGTATCAGCTGAAAGATGCATTTCAAGTTGTGTTTAATTTTCTGCTTCTTGTGAGTTATCACCTGTCAGCTATCCCAGCCATGTAATCTAGAGTATATGGTTATACCAACTATGTAAACGGTGATTATTTTGTATTTCATTGCATTTCTCTTAATTGTTTTTGTCTTTATATCAGTGTTGGCCTCTTCACCTTCTCGTTCTCATTCTGGAAGATGCATTATTGGCACATCTGTGTTTAAATTATTCAACCTTTCTAACTTGACTCCTCTGTAACTTGGATGCTAGAGCTTGCTTGTTTCGTTGCTTCAAACTTTGCACTTGTCAATTTGTTGGAATATAGTTGGTCACATTTTTCCTGAATAAATGTTGTTGCTTCCTGAATTTTCATGCCGGCACCACTCTAGATTTCCTCCATTTATTTAGAGAAGCGTAGTGTTCTGCGGTGCTTGTGGTCTTGCTTATGTTCCTGTTCAAAATCTGTTTCTTTCAGGTTCTCTTTACTGGGTTTAGACAAGATCTTCAAAAGTTGTCGGGTTTCAGAATATTCTCTTCACAAGCTGGGGCTATGTAAGTACCTTTTTATAGATGTTTGATTGTTTTTTCTCCCCACAAATGATTTGGAAGAACTTTCTCCGCATGTGGGAATTGCCAATCAAATGTTCTCGCCATCGAAAATTGTAATAACAAATGGAAAATGTCCTTTCTGAAGATCTGAGTTGGGATATTTGCCCATATTTTTTATAATCAACCAGTTGAAACTAATTATGGTAGATGTAGGCAAATAGCAAAAATAATTGGTTTCAACTGGTTGAACAAAAAAGTAGTTGTGTATTTGTTTATCCCAAGTGTTAATGTTGATGAGTGTTTGTCGCGCAAAGTTCTCAATCAATAAGGGTTTTATGAAGTCCCCAAAAACAAAATTGAATGAGTCTTACACAACCTTTTGTGTTTTTTGAACAGCAACAACTAAGCCCCAGTCCCAAACAAGTTGTTTGGATATATGAATCCTCAATAACCATGTTTCACCATCTAAATTCATCTCAGTCAACCTTAAGAATCTGCAATAATGTTATGCCCCCCTGCTGAATACAATGCCTTCTGATGGATGTAAATAGTTGCCATACAGAAGTTTGTCTGATTATGAAATGACAGATGGATTTTTGTATGCATTCCCTTGTTTACATAGTGAATTTCTGTTCTTAGGTTTTTGTGGGGCATGATGCCGTGTTCCTTTAATGTTGTATAAAGTATGGTACTTGCATCTTATCAATGCCTAACAAGGCTATTTTCAAACCCATGCAGGTGGAGACACGATGACTGGGGTCGAGGAAGGAAGTGTGCTATCCTCAGCCCCGATGCCAAGTGATACAGAGTGAAGATCCTAGGGGCAGACATCTTATTAACACCTAACAAAGACACATACTTCCAAATCATTTGGGTGGATACACAAGTTGTCTGGGCTGAGGAGGAAACTTGGCTATGCTCATTCCTGAAGCTTTGCAAATTCACTGTTGAGATTTGAGGTACAGAATGCGTATATGATCAACAGGCTAAGCAAGAAAATTAGTGTTCATCCGCCTCGTGTACGTTGATGTGATGAAAAGTTGTACGTAAGTAACAATCTTGTTACCACTGGATATTGAAATCAGGCCATATACATATCCATTTGAGGCGTCGTGCACGAATTCTGTTGTGATCGTTACATTTCCATATTTATAACGAAGATCAATGTCATTCTCGCCAAGCAATGCTCGTTTGATTATAAGTTTATTACCACTTAGCAATATACAAAAGGTACAGCCTGCCAAATTTACTTGCCCCTCTGAACGTTTATTATTTATGTTGGGGTTAAGGTCACAGTTTGATTACTATTATAATTTCATAAGTTCGATGTTTCACTTACACAGAAAATTCTACCATTTCTCTTACTAAATAATTATGGACCACAGCATAGTCTAACTCCTCACTAAAGAAGAAAAAAAAACATATTGTTTCACATGTTCAATTGCTAGATGCCTACCTCAGATATTAATGCTTCTAAATTTGGAGCACATGTAAAAAATACTAAATGATTTTTTTTCATTTATCTAACTTTAATAGATAAAAGTATTCAATATTTGTGCTGTGGGAGGTAACAAACATCCAGTATAATAATTGAACTGTGCACAAATTAACTCAAACGCCTTCGTATTAGAAAAGAAAAAAAAACCTATGTTTACACACAAGCACTCATGTGACGTAAAAGAAAACCATTTAAAAAAAAAACTCATGTGATGTGATGTCTAAAGTCTGATAAGTTGGCACTACTAATACCCTATGAACAAATCCAAACAAAATCCATTTGTCTGTTACACGTTGTTTTTGGTGATCTATACCTCCTGAGTTGCCTAAATAGAGTTGTGACGTTGTTTGCTTGCTGAGTAGTGGGAACTACTTTTATCTTGCAAACCAATCGCACCTTGCTTAAGTTTTTTATTACCTAGTATACGACTGATACTAATTATATATGATTTAAAAATATAAGACTTGGGTTCTTTTTTTATGAGATACTCCTTCATTTTAATTTGATTATCCAATTTCAACTTTACACGAACTTTAAAAAAAAAAGTAAATAAAACATGTAATAAAGTTTTCTACCTTGGTTTTGGATCGTTCAAATTCTTGCTTTTGTTCAAATAGCTTATAGTTTAAACTTTACGTAGAGCAAAAGGTATGACCAGATCATACCCAAAAAAAAAAAAAAAAAAAGACCAAAAGAATTGCGTAAATTACAATCTTGTCCCTAAAAAAATCTCTGAAACTAGCGATTACTTAATTAATTAAACAAGCCTTAAAAAAATATGCTTACTTCAAAGATATTTTCGTCATTACCCACCTCACCTGAGGAATTACAAATAGCTCCCCACAAAAGTTCCTTCCTCTTCAATTTCACCGCAAACCAAACACCGACTTGCCATAAAATGAAGAAATCAACGGTGAAAAATAGAGGAATTCAAACGGAACCGGAAAAGCTGACGGAGCCGGAGATGAACGCGGCGTTGCAGCTTATTCAGCTCAGCGGCGATTCCGATAGCAGCCGTGAAATTTACCATAACGCCGGTGAAAGTTCAAGAGTAGTGATCGTAGAAGAAGAAAGCGTCGGCGATACGGCGGAGGTATCATCGTCAACAGCCGTGAATATGGAAGATGAAGCTTCTCCTCCTAAGAAAAGGAAGTTCCGATCCGTCGCTGCACTTTATCAGGTTACAAAACCTTTGATCCTTAAGAATAAACATCGCAAGTTTAAATCCTGATAGCCAAAAAACATATATGTAAATTATTTCGTGTATATATATCAATCGAACGATATCAATAAACATTATTGTAGATATTTTTGGTGTAGTATATCCAGTTATTTATCGCTTTAACTGAAAAATATTAGTAGATCCGTTGATTGAACTTTTATCTCCTAGTGTTGATAAGAGTTTCATTCCAATTTGTAATTCCTTTTTCCATTTCTCCTGTCACCAGTTTTTACTTTTGATTTTTAAAAAAATTATCCTTTAACTAATTAACTGATTGTTCATGTTCATCATATGTGGGTTTGTTTAATTGATTTAATGGGGATTGGGGTTACGATTCTCGAGTGTTCTAGAATATTCTTCTTAAACCTTGCAGATTGAATTCAACTTTCTGACATAGCAAATTAATAAAATCAAAATACTGGAAGTTTATTTAAATAGCACATGTTATTGATTATCTAATTCGTTTAATTTTATGATAATTACTTGTGCTACATGAATTAAAAGCCAATCTAAAGGCATGTGAATATGGACGTAATGTTGGTTATCAAGAAATTGATCAGACAATTACATCAAATTAGTGGAGTATTTTTTTTCTAAAAAAAAAAAAAAGAAAGATATTTTCGAGAGTTTGATATATTGGGGTCATAGCTCATTTTCCCCCTCAATTTATATGTTTGCCTGCACCTTTAAAAACTTAACAACAATAATAACATATCTCGTAAAATTCCACTTAGTGAAATCTGTGGATAAAGTGAATAGGATCTGGGGAGGATAGAGTGTATGGACCTCTAGGTATCATAAAAGGTTTAAGATGATTCAATATTCATAATTATTTTACTAGCAAACCTGCACAATACAACATATAAGATGTTGTTTTCTTATCCTCACATCATGTATTCATATTTTGATTGCTAATATGACAGTCGTTTACCCTTCTTGTAGCGAAGAAAAAGAGAGAAAGAGATAATGATGAAATATTATTGTTTGAAGTAGAAAGATGATACTCAAAATTAACAATGAGTATTTCGAATTTAGATCTTATTGGGTACAAAATTGCATTAGTTAAGGTGTGATTTATCTTCTATTGTGAATTTTTTTGGTGCAGATTTGAATATAGTTGAGTCTTTATATGAGTATGAGACATCGAACGAAAAACTAATAAAATAAAACATTGTAACCTTTAACTAATTGAATGGAGCCTTATTATATATGGTAAGGCGGCATGGACGGTTCGCACCCCCTTGCCGTTATGGGGACTCGGTCTATAATTTGGTCTTTTTCTTCCTTGAATGGCCTCCTCGCATGTGGCTGAAGTTATTGTAGAAAAATCCTGCTTTTATTATAACTATAAATAAAAGGAATTTTTTTGGGACTTCAAAAATGCTACTATCTTTTAAGTGTGCATCAGATACAAGTAATGTAAACCTACACTAAGCAAAGTGTGATGCAACAACCTCGACTAGAAAGCATTGATAAGAGATCAAATCGATCTGTGATTTTCCATGTAAAGAAATGTAAAAGGAAAAAACAAATAACTAGTGGTTTGTTTTTGTACCCAAACGGAGACTTTAAGTATGTGAGAGGTATATATAACCATTAGAATATATAAAAGATGTTTGATATATTGAAATATTATGGATATTATATGGAGTATTTATGATGGTGAATGCTCATATAGCTAGTCGTGAATTAATGCGTTGTTGTTGTTGATTGAAATATTTAACAAATAAAGCAAAAATGATAGTGACTACTCATACAACAAATCTCAATAGTTTGAGATTGATCATGTATAATTATTGTTATTGTTTATTTGTGACTATTAAAACTACTGTAGAAGTAAAAATATGAAGATGATACTGTAATTATAGTATTATATTACAGATAAACGATGATAATTTTAGAGTGCATGTACGTACTATTGTTTAAGTTGGTAGTACGTTAATTTCTGTAACATCTGATCATATTTTTAATGATAATAACGAACATAAATAATATAAATGTTGGTTTAATTAAGAGAAAACCAAAAGGCGAATTAGAGAAAAGATGCTACCACTTCTTCCACCTAGGTAGCTACAAGATTATATTTTAATTAGTTACTTCTCTAAGTGATATATAAATTATATTAAATCATTTACAAATTCAAATTTCATTCGTCTCATAAACTATTATAATTGTTCTTTATCTACCTTTACAAAGGTTTATTTACAATATTCTAATATGATCAATTGTATAATCTCTGGAAAAAAAATACATTCTACATTTATATCAAATCAATAAATATGGATTTTTTTTTTAAATTTATGAGAAGACCCAAATATAAAAGAAAATATTTGTAAGTTGAGGGAATTCCAGAGAAGATCCATGGCCAAACTAATTTTCTAACCATATTAGTAGTCAAGTTTCACTAGAAAATTGATAGTGAAGTTTAATTTGCGTGATTAATTTTTTATTAATTATGCATGAGAACCTTTTTCAAAAGGCATGGAAACAATTTTTACCGTGTTTTTTCATGGTACAAACTATTAAGTACATTTGTTATAAACTATGCATGATTTATCAACGTGGCCTAAGATATAGCAACTATATTTAAACATGGGGATCTTATGAGCCAATATATAGGACTTAAAATGAAGACAAATAACAAACTTTTTTTGTGTCGATGATTCATATAATGGAGGTTAAATTATAATTATAAACAATAGTAAATTTGGGAATTTTCGTTATTCGTAATTAATTCCGTATTCTACGTGAAATAGGAATACCCACAGAGATCAGCCATCTCAAAGCAATATTTCTCTCTCTATATTTATATATTTATATATACACACAATACTCTCCGTCTCCACGTACATCCCTGCTGAGTCGGCATGTGGAGAGTCTCGATCGTCTGATCAACTCCACTACTAATATATGAGTATATATATATGAACGATATATTGTCTGAAATAATTTTTAATCCATATATGTGGGGAGTTTTGAAGTAACGATTGAGTAGTGTCCATATAAGAGCCATGGATGCCACTATCACATCCCTTGAGGTGAGGCCTTTCACCGAAACCTGCTATATATATACACAGATCGATGATAATTTTGTTAACGCTTGCAGTTTTAACAAAAAAATTGAAAGCAATTATGATCATAGCAGCAAATTAATACGTATCATTTTAATATTATCAAAATATATATTCATGGGTTTAACATGTTATTGATAGATAATCATAGGTCATCGAAGGATTTTTCTGTACGGAAAATAATTACGATATTGATATGTGTGAATTATATATACACAAGATAATAATGACGCTCGAAACTCCCGATAAAATTAGATGAAGACGCTCGCAGATTGATGCCGAGGAGTACAAAATTTCGTTCCATCACTGACCTCTACAAGGTGACTATTCATGCCGTATAAATTGTGAATTTGTATGAAATGTAGAATTTTGCTTCTTTTACGATGGTGCATGGTGTTTACGCTAGATCAGTTTGTACGTGTGTATTTCAATTATTTTCTGGGTATCTGTCATTCTGCACTTGTCAATTAGTTTCATATTTTGCATGCATTTACCAAGTATTATTTTGACATACAAACAAGATTGCATTGAAAAGTAACAAAATGTTTGCAGTCCATTGATCTTATATAGTAATACTAATATACTAAGGTACAAAAAATATTTTGATGCGTTAAATTTTGTTTAAGAGTTGCATGCATATAAGTGTTTTAATTTGAACTAGCTAAGTTTCAACTAATAATATTGTTCAACAATATATACTAATTAGTTCCTACTTGGAGTTTTTTATGCGATGTATGTATTGAAAAAGACTTGTATTTTATTAAAAAAAAATAAAAATTATTGTTAAAAACTTTTTTGAATTATAGTTGATTAAGTTACTTTCCTTGATTTTGAAGTGTACTGAGAGGCTCTCACCAGTTGAAGATGAATGTAATTGGAGTTCTCCCACAAGGAAAGATATCTCAACCAAAAAAAATTCAAGCATTAAAACGAACATAAGAAATCAAAGTTGTAAGTGTATTTAATATATATATAATGCAAAAGAAAAATACTTTACATTGGAAAAAAAATCATTCTTAATTACCTGGTCATTATAATCTCATGTTTAATATATATGGTCAATTTATTAACTCTTCTTTTAGACTACGGTATAGTCTTTAATTTTCTTGTTTTTAACATGATTATTAGCAGATCAAAATATTATCCAGAGGTGAATTCAGATGGTGAAATATCGGACAAAATGGGTTGCGTTAATAAACGAAGGAAGTTCCTATCAATTGTTGATATCTATGAAGCAACAAAACCGGTGGGATGTGACATGAACAAGTAATAGCAGTTAGATGTATTATTTTTCTAGGTGGATTATTTATTAATTAATGCTTTTAATTAGTTAAGGTTAATGTTAAAGACATAAATTACTGTTGTGGATTGAGAACTTCACAGTACTAGCTGTATAAGTTTTTATTGAAAGCGTCACCTTTAAATGAACATTGCAATGTGCGATCTAAATTTAGTTGAAACTTAGCTTGAACACCAAACTCCGAGTAGGAAAAAAAACAGTCTTTCTTCACTTTCACGTTTTTTAATCTCAATTATTTTATTACTAGTAGCCATTATTTGATATTCTATGCATCTTGTAATGATGTTATAGTAGGGCTTCATTTTATCTAATTTCTCAATATTCATTTTCTCTATTTTTAAAAAAATTCCTTTAAGAGCATTATCATAATTCATATTAATGGTATTCTATTCATTACTTAGTGAAAAAGATTTGAGGAGTACACAATATACATACACCTTATCATTATCATCTCGTAGAAATAGTAATGTTGTTTCTAAAAAAAATCCGTTCAAGTGAAATAAATTTAGATACAAAAAAGAAAGAGATTGTGCAGAGAAAATATCAAGTACACAATATAAAAATCTATAAAAAAGATCAAAAATAAATAAAAATAATGTAATAATCGAAACATAATAAACACCTTAAATTTATCTATTCTACTCAATGTGCTGTCACCTTTAGAGTGATGTTGGATTTCAGTATTTACACGTGTACTAATCACAACTTCATCCCCAATTTAATTAGAATACAATTGAATTAGCCTTTTAGGAGCACTCACAAATCACAAAGTTTCATCCTCAGGTTCATCTTCAATTTCTCCTTTCTTTTCTTTTCTTTTTCTTCATTGTTAACATAACTCATGTGCTTTTTATTATTCTAGTTCTGTAGAATTTTGAAACCAAGAGTGTATTTTTATTTTCTGGGTATATATAATAAATGCAGCTCAAATTGAATATTTAAGTGAACGCATGCCCTCCTTCCTAATTGTATGTATATAGTAGTGTTACATTTTTTTTTAAAAAAAAAAACACTCAAAGTATAGATGTGTGAACCATACTTGAAGTATGATCATATATAATGCAAATTGTGATAGTGCATCCATCCTTTTGAAATTTTGGATAGTCCTCTGGTTCTCGTTGTGGTTTAGTAGAATAAGAGACGTACCTCAAGATAATACTTGCAAATTCCTTACCTTACGTGTTTTCGTTTATTTTCTGCAGATTTTACTGGCATATGATGACACCTAATGAAGGAAATTAAAACAAAGTTTACTTGTTGATGTACTTAGCAACCTTCCCGAGAAATTAATCGATGACATACTTTTGTGTTTGCCTTTACGCGATGCTGTTAGGACAAGTATCTTATCGAAAAATTGGTGTAGACTTTCACAGCTGAAGCTTGATCAAACACTTTGGGAAACAACAGACGAATTTATATCCTCATTTGTCTTCTCGGACAATATACATCTAAAATGTGTCCCTCTTTTAGCAAAAGTTTCACATGAATCCTCTGTAAAGGCACGAACTAAGCTTGTACCAACTAAGCTTGTACACTTTCTTATTTTCTTACTCACTAGATCTTCAGTTTTAAGTTCAGAGTGACGTATTTTCGTTAATATTAGGGACCTGGTGAATTGCTTGATTATTTTCCTTGGGGGACTATTGATGAAATTCCTGCAAGCTTCTCAGATTACAGGCGTAATGGGAGCAGGGGTTCACATGCAGCTTATCAAGGTTTTATTGGCCAAATCTCCAGTGCTGCTGAGGATGGTGATCGACCCCAATGTAGAAGGAGATCATTCACTCGAAATACTCACAAAGATAACAAAATTTCACCACAAGCAGAAGTTATATATAATGTTAATGCGTATCCTGGTTACAAACCTGCTTGATGTTCACACCATAATTTTTGGCCAAAATGTTTTGAAAGTTTCAGTGTATATAGAAACAAATGTTGTTGCCGTATTATGTAAGGCTGTGTTTTGCCTTTGCCATTAGATGGTGAGAAAACTCAGTTTGAGAACGTAGTGAATCTGGATGGGTGTTTTGGCTAGTGTCAGTGTATACGCATAACATACTGCTTCTGTTGTTCAAAGGAATGAATGAAACCTGAAGTTCTGTGCAAAATGTTCTTCGCTCTTCTGAAACCGATACAGAAATAGGTGCTTTTTCTACATTGTTTACCTTAGTTACCGGGGGATTTCGGGGAAACCCTATGTGGGGCACTTTTTGGGTGTAGGATGCTTTGTTTAACCTCCGTATTCATCTTGTTCCTTATTTACAAGGGTGCACTACGTCTTCAAAAGCTTTCTGTCGAACCAGCTCCTTTTTCAATCCATTCTGGACCTATCGAAATATCAACAATCAAGTCTTCGGTCAACGGGAACTCTCTCGACTATTACTTTCAACTTGAAACTTGATTTTTTTTTTCGTCGAATCAAATTTAAGCATAATTCCTATGGTCATAGTTGTGTTTTCCAAATACATCCACCAGAGCAGGGAACGGAATGGAAAATCTTAATAGAATAAATGAAAACTTAAATAAAAGAAGATCGTTCAACATTTGTTCAATATCTACTAATGCCCCTTAACAAAGAAAATCTTTCAAAAACTATACTCTTCTCGACTTCATGCTAGTAAATCCATGCTTAGATCTGTTGCTATAAAATTTGGCAAGCTAATTTCTCCAACCATTTCAAGTAAGAAAAGCACCTAATAGCGGAACCAGCAAACAGCTTAGTGCTCCAGATGGAAGACATATTCAGTTAAGCGCTGTAATTTACTGGGGTCTAACTTCTGTTCTGTTATAACTGCCTGTTTCTTCACAGTAAGCATTTGAGATGCCGAATCCAACGCCCAACCCTGTTGCAGCACATCTGAAAGGGAGATGACAAACTTATTGTTACCAAACAGTGATAACTTATGAACACATTCACTGTATGTGCTTCTTAACATTTGATGTGCACCTATTATTTTAGTTAACCGCTTCAAGCAAATCGATCTGATTTTATAATTATCTTATATACCCTTTTTAACTTTTTTCAACCTCAATAATCACCTTCAATCCACCAAAGAGATTGCTATTAAAGTTAAGCTACATGAAAGTTGGAAGTACTATTAATTCACTTCATTGCAGGAAAATCGAAGACAATGTTACTTCTGATAAGATTAGCTTTTTCCAAATTACAGTTTAGACAAGTGTAGGACTCCAAAACTAGTCAGTTCACTTGTTCTCCCAATCAGAAAGTTCAAATTGATCATTGATGGAAGTGCCAACTGCAAGATTAGATGGCATCATTAGGATAATTAAGGTTAATGGAAAGCTGACCTTGGAAAAATTAGGACTATTTTTTTTATAAGTGGAAAAATTAGGACAATTTATTTGCCTAATTGCTGAATTGATGGGCATCCCAGATGTATCGGTTAAATCCTAGCAGAGGAACTAAAGGAGATGTTAAGAAACTCCCCGCCAGGGGTGTGAAATTGATAAAGGAACAACTACCAAGACATCAAAGAGCAGAATTTGAGATATTAGAGAGCCTTTTCAGAAGGTTTAGAAAGTAACATTTTACCATGACTTTTAAAGGTGAATCAAGGAGCAGGATACCTAGCCAATCAAGTCCAAAATTATGGTCTACTAGACAATGAAGAAAATGGAGATGATTCTCCTTGCAGACACAACAAGGATTCCTTTTGATAGACATTAGTTCATTTAGTCCTCTTATGTACAGAAAAAGAACTCTGAGACTACAAGCACGCACGCTGTAGGATAACAACTTACAGTTTGTAGCATCATTTTCATTCATTCCCAGGAAGCGAGCTGAGTCTTGTGTGCTAATGGTTGAATAAGCAGAAAGAAGGAGCTCGAACATCCTTTTTTTGTATAATTCTGCAGAAGGATGATGTGAAAATGATATAAAAATCAAATATACAGCAAAATAAGTACACATATGTATACCTATGCACCCTGTATAGCAAAACCACAAAGAAAACAATGGGGCATAAGAAGTTTAAGTTTATGTTTGCATTATATGGTTCCCTTCACAGATTTGAGTAAACGCTTTTCTTAAAAAAATCGCTGGTAACTATTCGAACATTTCCCCAGCAATGTGGTCTAATATTTAGACAAATAACCAACTTACATTAAGGATATATGAAACCACCACCCTCTACAATGTGCCAACAATCACTTTATTTTCTTACAAATACAGCCCCAAATAATTTGGCTGAAAGAAAAAAAATAATGTGGTGAAGTATAGTTTCACCTGACGTCACAAAAATATAATGCTGCATGAATTACAAAAAATAGTACTAAATAATTTACTTTTAACCACAACAGAAGATCCTAGAGTTGGAACTCAGAACTAAGCATGCTGAAAATTCTTTTGCGCTCCTCTCCATCAGCATGGTCTGAAAACAACTTCATCCATGCTTCTGTCTCTACCACAACCAACCCCCCAGACAGAAGAATTCAACATATATTGAGGAGAGCATATATTTTGGTATATGCCTACATCAGTTAATCACTTAATCCTTGACCTCTCATAAAAATGTAGTATAGTTTTGTTTTTTATATAGGTGGGATGGACAGCAATATGATGGAATTAGTATTACTGCATGTCTTATTAGTAGAAAGTTACACGCCAAATTATCCTTTATATGCGGAAAGAAATTTTTCCTCAATAGCTATTTTCTCAGTCAAGTACATGATAAATTCCATGTATCTGGAGAGTTACCCAATAATTAAAACAACCCAGAACTTCAACTAACTCACCATCAGTAAATGGAATACAAAGAATCTACACAGTCCTTGTTTTAGTAAATTAAACGCCTTGTCATAGTTGCGCATGCGGAAAACAAAGAACCGATTAAGCTCGCCCAACTCATATAAAGAGTAATTGACAAAAATGAACACAGAGCAAAATTAACAATGAAGAAAAATATGATGGGGAGACATAATTGGAGTATTATCCACAATTATCTAGGTCAATAAGGACATAAATATCAAGATTCAAGCATAGAGATGATACTCCCAACCAATAATCATGACATCAACCAGGAACAAAATTGACACGTGATTGAGAAAAAGGCATCACCATTATGATCTCCCTTTCAGGGGATCACACCAGTAAACCCATCCTAAATAATTGCTTATACTGACTATTTCGTACCAAACAGCCAATGGCCCATTGCTAACAAAAGATATCATTTTCAAATTTTTCGATGTTGTACCAAGACATAGAGACCTGTAGAGAACAATTATCCCTGCCCATTTAAGCTGATTACCTGAAAGTGGCCACTAGACTTCAAGATAAGTTCAGAGAGCATCATTCTAGTCTCAAGCCACTATCAAACTCCAATAGCTAATCCTGGACTGCAGCCCAACTTTGTGATTTGTGCAGATTCATAGATTCTACTAATTCAACAATGGAAATATATAGTTAATCCTTACACTTACTTGATCCACATTCAATCTTAACCCAGAAGAGAGGCTAGACTCCTTTGGCACAGTGGCACTTCATTTATAAGTCCCAATTATTAGCTGTAGCAGCAAAACCTTCTATGCTTTTGACAGGCACAGAAAAGAATGTTGATCCCTTCCAAATGCCAACTAAAGTATAAATTTACTAGATAGAACCTTCGAAATATAATCTCAACCCTCACTTTAACTTCTCCCTTTTTATTTCGAAACAAGAGGTGACACTCCTCTTGCACTATAACTTAGAGATGTTATGTCTTAGTTGTTCACATATTCAACCTTTTACCTACTCTAAGGGTTCGTTCATCTTCATCATTCAGAATCCAATTATCCTATGGATTCAACAAGCAAAAACAAATCTTGGGCTGCTGCTAGGACTCATATTCTACATTATGTAAAGCTTCTAACCAGAACTGATTAAACTACTAGAGTTAATAGAAGACGATCGACTTTTAAACAGAAAAGGATGATCAACTAAATCTCTACCATTTGTTCTATGGCGAATAAAGATACACAAACTTGCCTGCAAAGGAAGCCACGAAGGGCTGAACCTCAGGACTCCAGCTGAATCCACGAATAGCCTCGTGCACACCGACATAGTCCCTTGTCCAAAGCTTCTGCCCAATCCTCCAAACTGCCACCACCTCAGGCCGGGCCTCCTTTATAGCTGCAGGTATCTTCTTCCACAGAAATCGCGCACTATTACTGCAAAAGTAAGACAATAACAATGTAATTCTAAATCAATTCCTTCACATCATCCAACTTAAAACCCTAAAATTCCAAAGTAAAGTTGCAAATAGGAGATTACATGTCATTGCTGTAAATATGACCTAGAAGGTGAATCGCGTAGGGCCATTCATCATGAAATTCGATGCCCTCAGCAGCACCCTATGAATACCAACAAAGCGAATAGAAACATTAGGTTTCTTTCTTAAATCTACTGAAAGGACTACACTAGAAAGACAATAAATAGAGAGGAAAAACAAGGAGAAATTGCCTGGAGCATGAGATTATCACAAATATCAGCAATCTTGTCGTAAGAGCTGGACGCCAAGGCTTCGTTGAGTGGAGAAGTATCCATTGAAGCGCACTGTTTTTTTCCTCGTCGATTCTCCTTCTACTCCGTCACCGACTCTCCGCGGGGTGATCAGAATTACAATGTAGTGCATAGTTTGGGCTTTTGGTCTTTGGGCCTTTGGGCTATTTAAAGGTAATCCAAGTAGTAATAGGGAAAATTAACAATTAAGTCATAATACCTAATATAATTAGTCAAAATAATAACACTTTAAAATATTTATTTAAAATGGCAGAATGACAATAATTTTATAAAATAATATGTATTCAGATTTTAGTATTTTAAATTAATTTTATTTATGGAAAGAGTCCTATATTTGACCAAATTATATACCAATAACCGTTTAAAGTGAAAAAAAATAAATTAAACCAATACCATTAACTTTTTTTCATCACCATTCATGTTTCTTCCCCACCTTTCACGTTTCAAGTTTATCTTTCTTCAAGGTGCTAAATTGTTGTTCATCAAGATTTTTTTTATTGTTAAACGAAATCTCTTTATTAATTCAAGAAGATTTCTCGGTTGGCAAGGTAATTTTCATTATTCATTTCGATTAGTTATTTATATTTCTTTTGATTTGTTTTCACTATCACCGTTTATGATTTATATTTTGCATTGTACGTATTACGGATTTTCCGTCAATTTTTTTGATTTTTATGCAAGTTTGTTTACATATTCATCTAATATTTATGTATTTCAATTAGTTATTTAGATTTCTTTTCATATCACTGTTTATTTATATTTCGCATTGTACATATTACGGATTTTTCGTTAATTTTTTCGATTTTTATGCAAGTTTGTTTACATATTCATGTAAAATTTATGTATTTTAGATTTTTAGTCGATTAAACAATTTTTTTTCGATTTTTTTCTGATTTCGTTTTAGTATTTCAGATTTATTAAAATCTACAAATTCATTCATGTGTTTGTTTTGTTTGATTTTTAATACATTTATATTTGCTTTTAGGGTTTTAGATTTGGGGAAATCATTTGTATGTCTACAATGTCTGAATCTAACAATTTATTTGTGTATTCATTCTATTTATATATCAACAAGTTTTACATTTTTTGTTTTTACATTGTATTTCAATCTCAATTAGTATACCAACATGTCTGTATTTCCTTCTTAATTTGTATTCATCCTAACTGTATGCTAACAATAATTTTGTATTTTATTGGGTATTCATTCTGTATTTCAATCTCAATTTATATGTGAACAAGTTTGTATTTCTCTTTTGTTTTGTATTCAACCTAATTGTATACCAACAAGTTTTGTATTTTATGTGTCCACTTTACCTTTCAAAGTCAATTTGTATTTCAAATAAAGAGAATATTTAATTCTTTTGTATTCACAACTTTATATTCAATCTCACTTTGTATTTATAACTTTGTATTTTCATCTCACTTTGTATTCATATATTGCTGTATTCAACATATAGTTCATGATCCATTAGTTTGTATTTTACCTTTCAAAATCACTTTGTATTTCAAATGAAGAGAGTGTTTCTTTTGTATTCAATCTCACTTTGTATTTTCATCTCACTTTTGTATTCATATATTGTTGTATTCAACACATAGTTCATGATCGATTAGTTACATTAACTTAATGGATACAAATTATTGTATGCATTCAAACAGAAAAAACAACTAATAAACTAAAAAAAATAAAAATTCATTCGTTATACATCATAATTTGGAAACAAAACATCCGAAAAAAGCTATAAATCCCAATGCATACAAAGATTTCACTGATTCAATCAGAAAAAAAATACCTGATTGTTTTTCAATTGTTCATTGGATGCGGCAAATTTATAGTTGTCAATTTTGAAAAATTATGTTTCAAAATTATGTCGTATTCAACTTGAAGAAGCTTTGAAAGTTATCAGATGAATGATTCGGAAAACAAACTAATTTTTTTATTTTTTGATGTTCTTAAGAAGAAAGCAAAAAAACGCTCGACGGAAAGATGACTATTTATGCTCTTTTCAAAACGTAACTGATTTGTATTTAAAATCTTTTTTACCTTTTTTGAATTTTTTGTTCCATGATTTTCTCTGTTTTGTTATTAATTATTTTGTATTCTTTCAAATTAATCAAAATAAAATAAATACATAACTAATCCCTTAACAAACTAAAATAATGACATTTTTAATAAATAATGAAATTGTTGCTAAGAGTCCCACTAAAATCTAAAATATTGTTGTTTTGAAATTTTTCCCTTGAAAATATCCGGATACTAAATAACAAAAGCACAGGTTTATATGATTGTATCATAATTTCCTACGAGTTATAACGTAGAAGACATAATAAATTATAATATAAATTAAAAGATTAATATTTCACGAGTTATGTCGTAAATGACATATATCATATGCCATGAGGAATAATGTATGCTTTAAGATAACACACAAACTCACACATATACCCTACCATCATCCCATATTATCTACCAAATTTCTTTATCTTCCAAATAATTTTAAAAAAAAAACAAAATATGCCTCAAAAGGCATAACTCAAGTTTTTAAACATTACTAGATGGGCATGACTTGTGTCAATACGGGCCCAACACTTCAGAGTCCGGAGCCTAAAGGGCAAAAAAAATGGTCAAAAATTCCAAAAGGGCACATCACTTTTTATTTTAGCCAAAAGGGCAAAATCGCTGCCCTAGCAGCGATTTCGTCTAAAAAATTTTTTTATTTTTTTTATTAAAAATCGCTGCTGTGGCAGAGATTTTGTAAAAAAAAATATTTTTTTTTTAAAATTAAAAATCGCTGCTTTTTTTTCTTTAAAAAAACTAAAACAACACATCAAAAAAAAAATTAACCAAAAGGGCTTCTGACAAAACAAAGAATATACATCTCATGTACACAAAACAATGCTTCACTACTGTGGATATACATCTCATGTACATAAAAGAATATTAAATTCAGAAAAAAACTTTTTAAAAAAAATTCTTAACCAAATTCGCTGCTATAGCAGCGATTTTGAAGAAAGAAAAGTTTTTTTTTTTTTTGGGAAAATATGCAGCGATTTTGAAGAAAAAAAAGTTTTTTTTTTTTTTGAGAAAATATGCAGCGATTTTTATTTTTGTTTTGTCAGAAGCCCTTTTGGTTAAAAAAATTTTTGACGTGCTGTTTTAGTTTTTTTAAAGAGAAAAAAGCAGCGATTTTTAATTTTTTTTACAAAATCGCTGCTAGGGCAGCGATTTTGCCCTTTTGGCTAAAATAAAAAGTGATGTGCCCTTTTGGAATTTTTGACCATTTTTTTTGCCCTTTAGGCTCCGGACTCCAACACTTCATATTTTTAAGTAGTTGATGCTTTACATTGTCATTTGGTGATGAAGTATAAAAAATGATAGAGCTATGATAGATACATTTTCAAATATGTATGTTGGCAGAATCAGATGTACAGACCAAAGTAATATATGTTGCTTCTACTTACCACTGAATCTTATCACATAGATTATATATTGTATTTACAAAGTTTTTGACTCAATCAATTTTTATTTCTTAAAATGATTAGCGATTTACTTTCCCTAATTTTCTCCTTGCTCGTACATTTATTTGCTATACCACAAAACAAACTTTTACTACCTGCAATCTTAGAACAATTGTGTGATGAGGTTCACATATTTTTACTTTGCTAAAAATTAATTAACGGTCAAATTTAAATACGAAGAAATTTGATAAAGTCAACAAAATTGTCTATTGCTTTGACAATCTTGGTATAATAAATCTTAAAATAAATACGATTTTACATACTTCACAATGTTAAATTAATGGATATATGTGACTAAAAGTTTGATATATACGTCAATTACAAATAGTAAATGTTATAATTACTTCAGCGTATGTGAAGGAGTGCATCTCACTGACTTTCCACGAAGTCACCATTTTGAGAAGAAAAAACTGAAAGTTCATTTTATTTTTTAAAAAGATCATACAATTGCATCTCAATATTTTAAGCTAAAACTAATAATTCATTTATCCGTATTTACATCATCAAATATTTTCAACGTCTTCATTTGAATGACTTAGCGTCGGTTTGGATTGGCTTTAAAAAAATAGTTTTTAAGTCAAAAAATAAAAAGTAGGGCGAGACTTACTTTTGGTTTTTGACTTATTTTAAGTCATTTTAAACTTATTTTAAGTCATTTTTGACTTATTTTAAGTTGTCTTTTTTATATTTGTCAAACACTTTCATAAGTTAAAAACTGACTTAAATATAGGTTTGACTAACTTTTAAGTCAATTAAAACACCCTCTTAACACTAACATCTACTCAATAAATAACATATAAATTATATAATTGATGATCTATTCCTGGTAAGGCTTGTTTACATAATTTTTAAGACATACGTAGGTGCACAAACCATGTGTAAGATTAGTTATCCAAAATTAAGATCATCTTAACATTTAAAACATGAAACTTTTTCTGCTTAATTGTTTTGGACATTTCATCAAACACTTTAGTAGTGTAAGAAGTTCTTCCTTCAGATTCCATAACACCACCAAAGGCACATAGATTTCATCAATAAAACATGAAGAGGGAAATCAAATATGAACAATTCTTATCCCTACATACTAAACTAAAATGAAAAAAAATAGAAAGCTAAAGATAACTTCATAGGTTATTCCTTGATGATTGAACTATGTAAAATGATGATCTTCAAAAAGAAACCAAGGTTAATCATAATTTTTCTTTCCTCAATTTTCAACTATGTCAAACGAATATATCGTAAAATTCCAAGGAACAAAGGATTTGAGAATGATAAAGAAAGAACACTTTAAAGTACGTGTTCAAAGGAGAATGACCAAAATATCAATACAGACCATCAATATAGGGAAAAAAGGGGTAAAATTGAGAATTTTCAATTTAGTACAACTAACAAAGCTTCTTGTACAACTCTAGAGTGCAGTGTTAGTACACCCACACAAGGGATAAAATTGAGATTTTTCAATTTAGTACAACTAACAAAGCTTCTTGTACAACTCTAGAGTGCAGTGTTAGTACACTCCCACTCTCATTTTTAAATAAGAGTAATAAAAAATTATGAAAAAAATTTATTTAATTTATATCGTATAATT